CTCCCAGAGGGCACAAGGACACTTTGGTGGCTTTGGGAATGGCTCCTAGGGACAACAAATGATTGAATGGGAGTCACTGAATTTCCTACAAGACATTGGGAATGATTCCTTCATTCCCATTAGGAAAATTAGTGTTTTGTACCCCTTTGTCCCAAAGATCCCAGATCCCAGTGCCAGCCACAGCCTCTCCCAGGCCACCATGAGGACAGAGGTGACAAATCCCGATGGCTTTGGTGGCTCGTTCCCACCTCCCTCATTCCCTGGCAGCTGAGGTGACTCACGGTGACAGGCACGGCTGCCTGGTTTTCCATGGAAATTCTGCTCGTCCTGGAGCCATCCCGGTGCCACAGGAGCCCGTCCAGCCCGTGCCGCAGGATCGCCTCCGAGAGCTCCCTCAGCAGCGCCAGCTGGGGTTGGGCAGGGGTTTCAGGATTTACCTCAGAACTTTGGATAATTCCCTCCCAGGTGTGTCAGTCTCCTCTCCTTCCCCCTCCCAGCACTGTCTGTCCCTCCTGGAATTCCAGAAGTGATTGGCAGATTCACAGGATTCACAGGAAAATCCCTTCCCAATATCACCCGGGGGTAGATATTGGGAAGGGATTTTCAGTTGGGAGAGTGGGGAGGAGCTGGAATGGAATTCCCAGAGAAGCTGCGGCTGCCCCATCCCTGGAAGTGTCCAAGGCCAGGCTGGATGGGGTTTGGAGCACCCTGGGATGGTGGAAGGTGGTGAGGTTGGAATTAGAAGGGCTTTAAGGTCCGCGTGTCGCTGTCACAGGGGCCTCAAAGCCACCATATAAAATTGCAGCAAAAAACAAATCCGGTCCAGAAATGTCTAAATACAACCTGGAAAAGGAAATGGAATGAAATTTTCTGGGATGGCTGGGGGAGCAAATGCCACCTCCAGGATTCCAGAGGGAAGAGATGGAAAAGCCAAATTACAGCCCCAAGGTCAGGAGGGAGGACAAAGGATCTCCTACCTTGATCCCGTACTCTTCAAAAAGCCTCTCCAGGTCCTGCAAGGGGAGAGAAAATTCCAATTCCTCCCCCTCTGCTCTCCAGGAGGTTTCTCCCAAGGGGACACACATTGGGGTCCCCTCTGCCATCCCAACCCAGACAGAGAGGGAGGTGATTCCAACATTGATACGGTCTTTAATTTTGATTTATTTACCTTCATTTCCACTCCTCTTCCTGGTGGGCCAGGTTCTCCCTTGGAACAAACNGCCAGTGAAGCCCCCAGAGCCCAAAATTCCTTCCTGGAGAGGAGTCGGGGTGGGGATGGATCCAATGCCAGGCTGGGAGAGCTGGGAATGGAGGGAATTCCCTGGAGAGGGAGCCTGGGCTGGGATTTTGGGAAGGGATTCCCAGAGCAGCTGGGGCTGCCCCTGATCCCTGCAGTGGCCAAGGTTGGACACTGGGGCTGGGATGGTGGAAGATTCCCTGCCATGGCTGGGGTGCAATGGGAGGATCCTTAAAATCCCATCGCACCCAAACCATTCCAAACCCGCTGGATTTGGGCTCCATCCTCAGTGTCCCTCCAGCCTGACCATTCCCAGCAGAGGGAATTGCTGCATCCAGGAGGGAAAGCAGAGCCCGGGATGATCCTGGCACATCCAGAGCCGCGGTTCCCACTCCAGGATTTTCTGCTGGAGCCGGGGGCCCTCTCGTGGCTGCTGAGCCATCGGGATCCCAGCTCCGTGATTATCCCTGGAATTCATTTCCCAAGCCAGGGCTGGGATAAAGGGACGGGAGCAGAAGGAAGAGCTCGGCAAACTGGAGAAACCAGAGCGGGATTTCCTGGAGCTGGATCTCCCCACTTTCACTCCCCTCTTGCCAAATAAAAATAAAAATAAAAATAAAAATTTAAAATAAAATAAAAATAAAAATAAAAATAAAAGTAAAAGTAAAAATAAAAATTAAAAAATAAAAATAAAAAATAATAACAATAAAAATTTAAAAATAAAAATAAAAATAAATATAAATTAAAAATAAAAATTAAAAATTAAAAATAAAAATAAAAAATAATAAAAATAAAAATTAAAAAATAAAAATAAATTTTAAAAAATAATAAAAATAAAAATAAAAATAAAAATAAAAATAAAATTTAAAATGAAATAAAAATAAAAATAAAATAAAAGTAAAAGTAAAAATAAAAATTAAAAAATAAAAATAAATTTAAAAAATAAAAATAAAAATAAAAATAAAAATAAATTAAAAATAAAAATTAAAAAATAAAAATAAAAATAAAAATAAAAATAAAAATAAAAATAAAAATAAAAATAAAAATAAAAATAAGAATATCCTTGCTGATGCTGTTCCTGCAGCTCCAAGAAAATATTTTTCCCTTCACTTTTTAAAACTGGTGCTGTCCTGCCTCTAGGCATTTCCAAGAATTCCATAGGGATACAACAATATCCAAACTGGAGAGTGCTGGGTTTGGAGCAGGATTTGGGAAGGGAATCTCTGCCCAGGAGGGCAGGAAAAAAGAGGGAAATGGGATTTTAGGGATCAGAGAAAATCCCCAAATTCCTGCCTAGACCCTAAAAACCTCCTCTTTAAATGGCTCAGATGCTCCAGAGCACAGCAGGAATATCCTGGAATACCTGTGGAATATCCTGAGACCATATCCATGAATTTCCATACCCATGGAAAGTGGGAAGGCAAAGGAAATGTCCTGTAGGAGTCAAATTTCAAATTCCCTGTTTGGAGTCTGCATTATCCCTGTTTTGAAAAGCCTTGGGAATCATCAACTCTTCAGCCAACCAAGGGTGGGATCAGATAAAAAATGGGATTATCCTGGTTTTCCCCCCAAAATTGTGGAATTAACCAACAAAACATTTCCCAAGGGATTTTGGTCACTGCCAAAGGGATTTTTTTTTCCTGCTCATTCCAGGAGCTCTGGTGCTCTTCAGGGATATGGAGAAGCCTCCCCAGGATTAAGATTTGCATCCCAGTCCTTCTGAAATCCTTGGAAAATCGTACCTGGCTGGTGTCCTGCTGGGCTTGTCCTTCCAGCCTCTCCTCCAGGGGCTGCAGGATTTCCAGGGAATGGTTTTCCTGCGGATCTCCTGGATGTGGTGAGGTCACAGCCAAGCTCTGCAGGGAGGGATGGATAAACACCAACAAAATTCCATTAATTACTGGAAAAAAACATAAAAAAATCGACAGCAGGGCCCTTTTCCCAAGTCCTGACACTGATCTGTGCAGAAATCCTTTCTCTAATTTCATTTTCCGTTGCAATAAAATAGGGGCAAAACTCAGAATTCCAGTGATCTGTCCAGTCAAACTCTGGGAATTTTAACTCCTCTGGGAATTTTCACCATCCAATCAGCACCAGTGGAAAAGGAAGGGTTCCCTGAGGGAATTCCTTCCTTGAGGAACTGAGGGATGCTCTGATGGTCCCAAATCCTTTTTTTTCTGGTTTGGGTTGGGCTCCCAAAGCTCAACAGAGGCAGTTTTGGGGTCTCTGCATCCCAAATCCCAACTTTTGCTGGCTCCAGGCTTGTGTCTCTTGGTGCAAACCTCCCCTCTCAAGCCCCCCTACGATGTCAAAACTTTGGAAATTTTGAAAAAATCTGGGAAGAGCCTGAAGACATGGGAGGAGCCTGTGGCTGAGGGGGAATGTCCTGTCCCACCTTGTCCAGGTCTCTGAGGAATTGGATCATCCTGATCCAGCCTTAGAGGGAGATACAACACAGGAAGCCCAGCATGGAGAGAAGCCTTAAAAATTGTGGATAAATTCCTGATTCCCATAAATAGGAGCTGTTAATCAGGATGCAAATGAGGCCGTTCCCTCTGCTCCTGTCCCTGTTCCCTGGGCTGTCCCCTCCTGGCAGGGACTTGTGCAGAGCCACCAGGGCCCCTGAGCCTCCTTTGCTCCAGGCTCAGCCCCTGCCCAGCTCCCTCAGCCCCTCCTGGTTCTCCAGGCCCTTCCCAGCTCCCTCAGCCCCTCCTGGTTCTCCAGGCCCTTCCCAGCTCCCTCAGCCCCCTCCTGGTTCTCCAGNTTTCCTACAAGACATTGGGAATGATTCCTTCATTCCCATTAGGAAAATTAGTGTTTTGTACCCCTTTGTCCCAAAGATCCCAGATCCCAGTGCCAACCACAGCCTCTCCCAGGCCATCATGACCTGCTTGATTACAGAGGTGACCCTGATGGCTTTGGTGGCTCTGGGAATGGCTCCTATGGACAGCAATGACTGATTTCCTCATTCCCATGTTTTGTATCCCTTTATCCCAAAGATCCCAGATCCAGGTGCCAGCCACAGCCTCTCCCAGGCCAAGGTGACCTGCACAATGACAGAGGTGACCCTGACAGCTCTGGTGGCTTTGGGAATGGCTCCGATGGACAACAATGACTGATTTCTTAATTCCCATTTAAAAATGAGTGTTTTGTATCCCTTTATCCCAAAGATCCCAGATCCACAGCCTCTCCCAAGCCACCTTGACCTGCACAATGACCGAAGTGACCCTGACAGCTTTGGTGGCTCTGGGAATGGCTCCGATGGACAACAATGGCTAATTCCTTCATTCTCATTAAAAAACGAGTGTTTTGTATCCCTTTATCCCAAAGATCCCAGATCCACAGCCTCTCCCAAGCCACCACGACCTGCACAATGACAGAGGTGACCCTGATGGCTTTGGGAATGGCTCCTATGGACAGCAATGACTGATTTCCTCATTCCCATGTTTTGTATCCCTTTATCCCATAGATCCCAGATCCCAGTGCCAGCCACAGCCTCTCCCAGGCCAAGGTGACCTGCTTGAGGACAGGGGTGACCCCGATGGCTTTCGTGGCATTGGGAATGGCTCTGATGGACAACGGTGACTGATTCCCTCATTCCCATTAAAAAACGAGTGTTTTGTATCCCTTTATCCCAAAGATCCCAGATCCACAGCCTCTCCCAGACCACCATGACCTGCACAATGACAGAGGTGACCCTGACAGCTCTGGTGGCTCTGGGAATGGCTCCTATGGACAGCAATGACTGATTTATTAATTCCCATTTAAAAATGAGTGTTTTGTATCCCTTTATCCCAAAGATCCCAGATCCAGGTGCCAGCCACAGCCTCTCCCAGGCCATCATGACCTGCTCGAGGACAGAGGTGACCCTGACAGCTTTGGTGGCTTTGGGAATGGCTCTGATGGACAACAGTGACTGATTCCCTCATTCCCATTAAAAAACGAGTGTTTTGTATCCCTTTATCCCAAAGATCCCAGATCCAGGTGCCAGCCACAGCCTCTCCCAAGCCACCACGACCTGCACAACGACAGAAGTGACCCTGACAGCTCTGGTGGCTTTGGGAATGGCTCCTATGCACAGCAATGACTGATTTCCTCATTCCCATGTTTTGTATCCCTTTATCCCAAAGATCCCAGATCCCAGTGCCAGCCACAGCCTCTCCCAGGCCACCACGAGGACAGAGGTGACCCTGATGGCTTTGGTGTCTCGTTCCCACCTCCCTCATTCCCTGGCAGCTGAGGTGACTCACGGTGACAGGCACGGCTGCCTGGTTTTCCNGCCACACCTGTGAGGAGCTGGGTTCTGGTGGCTTCAGGGATTGGTGTGACAGTGACAGCCCCGGATCCTGCCACCCAAAACAAGGGATTGGTGTGACAGTGACAGTTCTGGATCCTGCCACCCACAACAAGGGATTGGTGTGACAGTGACAGTCCCTGGTCCTCCCACACCACAACAAGGGATTGGTGTGACAGTGACAGCCCCAGATCCTGCCACCCAAAACCAGGGATTGGTGTGACAGTGACAGCCCCGGGTCCTGCCACCCAAAACCAGGGATTGGTGTGACAGTGACAGCCCCAGATCCTCCCACACCAAAACCAGGGATTGGTGTGACAGTGACAGCTCTGGGTCCTGCCACCCAAAACAAGGGATTGGTGTGACAGTGACAGTTCTGGATCCTGCCACACCAGAACCAGGAATTGGTGTGACAGTGACAGACCCGCATCCTGCCACCCAAAACAAGGGATTGGTGTGACAGTGACAGCCCCGGATCCTGC